GCCGCGGCCGCGGTTCTAGGGACAGCCCGCCGAGCGCCGCCGCCGCAGCTTCGGAGCCTCCGAGCGCGAGTGCGGCCCTGGCGGTGCGTCTCGGTGGCTCTGTTACATTAGGTCGAGTTAGGAAAAGCTTTCCCGGTTATTCCAGCAACACCAGCAACTTTCACGCAAACGTCTATTTTTCGGTACGTTACAGAAGAGTTGTCGCCGAGTGGGGCAAGTTGGCTCATTTGCCTGTGGGGACGTGGGGAGATGGGGGGGCCAAGCCTCACTAGCCCACACGTCAGCAGCCAGCAGGGCTGCTTGCTGTCTGCTTTGGTGCCGTTTGGTCCCCTGGAGCTGCTGAAGTGTGGGTAACGGAGGAACGCCCTGGGGACCCAGGCCACTGCCTCAGTTGGTCTGGGCCATGTTCCTCCTGCAGCCACCAGGTCTAGCCCGGGATGTTCGTCCCCCCGCAGCTGCCCACCTCCCAGCAACTGAAGGGCAGCGAAGGCCGAGCATTAAGCACCAAGGGGCAGAGTTGATGGGCTGTTTGCCCTCCAACTCAGACCACCGGGCACACTCTTTGGGCCGCTAGCATTGGCCTTGCCATCAGCCCTGGGGAAGCGCTGGTCCCCGGCTCCTCCCACACCCTCTGCGGGCTCAGCTCCTCGCTTGAGGACAGTGGGCTCCGAGGGGCAGTGGAAGGACAGGGGGGCAGGATTGCTCAGTGCCTGTCCCGGACAGAGGAGCAGGATTGCTCAGTGTCTGTCCCGGAAAGAAGAGCAGGATTGCTCAGTCCCTCTCCCGGAGAACAGAAACTGGCGGTGGACCAACTGTGGGGCCAGCGGATGGGTGGGTCTCAATCGGATTTTGCTGATCTCTAGGGTGGCTGCACATATAAGTCCCCTGGCCCCGCCCTGACACTCAGCAGCCAGCCTGTCCTTTCCCGCCAGGCCCCTTGGCAGCTGCTAACTCGCCTCCTACTGGCCAGGCGCGGATCCCGCCCGGAGCGCGGGCTTTTCCACTTTCTGCCGCGGCGGCTGACTCGGGCAGCCGCTGACGCCATCGCCGCAGCTGGGAGCCTCCGCGTGGAGCGCGGCCGTCACGCGCGCGGCTGGGGCAGGTTCTCTGGTTCTGTGAGTGGTTCCTGAGCATTTGAGTGGACCTGGAGTTCCGAGGGGGGTGACTGGCACGGATGCCTNTTCCGAGGGGGGTGACTGGCACGGAGGCACTTTTGGGTGGGGTCGGGATGGATAGGCGGCTTCCCACTGTCGGGACCCCCTTCCCGCTCCCCACCTGCAGAGGCCATGAGCTTTACACCTGGGGAGCCCCTTGCAGGCAGTGTAGGCAGCTGTCCCAGAGGAGCTGGGGGGGGGGGGG